TTTTTTTTTTTTTTTTTTTTTTTTTTTTTTTTTTTTTTTTTTGCGAGCAACTACTTTTATCATTAACCCATGTGCATGTTCAAGCGTCTGCACTGGGCAATTCACCACCTAATGTTATGTTCATTCTGTACTCATCACTGCATAATTGATTCAAAGTGCTCAGATAATCTACTGAATCATACTGTGATTGACAGCTTGGTCTCTCAACTCCCTTCCTCCCCTCTTATTCTGTAGTTCTTCATCCTAACATGGATGTATCCACGTGCAAGAATAGTGATTCTCACTTAGAATCATAGGATGCCAGGATTGAAAGGGATCTTAGAAACCAAATAATCCACCTGGCATGGTGGCACTTGCTTGTAATCCCAACACTTGGGAGGCTGAGGCAGGAGGATCACTGCAAGTTTGAGGCCAGCCTAGGCTTCATAGTGAGTTCAAGGCACCAAATCTGTTCTACACCTGTGCCCTCTGCTCACACTGCTGCTACTCCACGGTAGAGGCTCTCTGCCTTCTCAGCTTCTGCATCCAAGTCCAGTTCCCTATTCTTGGCTTCCTGTAATACTACTTTGTTTACATTAATTTTACCTTTGTCTAAAGTTACCCAAAAATAAAGTTGTTTAATTTTCATGTGAGTAGTTACTACCATCCTATTCACCATATGATCCTATATTACTTACGCATTTATTTTAATTCTCCATGACTTTCACCGAATTTATCTCCAGATTAAGATGAAATCTTTTTTTGTGGGGGGCGGTTGAGACAGGATCTCACTCTGTAGTTGAGACTGACCTGAACTCACTATGTAACCCAAGCTGGTCTCGAACTCACAGCGATCCTCCTGCCTCAGCCTCCCGAGTGCTGGGATTACAGGTGTGTACCACCATGCCCAGCTCATAAGATGAAATCTTCTCTAGGATCCTCTAAAGCACCTAGCAGTGGGTAGGAACTCAGTAAATGCTTGTTTGCCATGTGGTTTCTTAAAAGTCTTTGTTTTCTTACCTTTCAGTGTTGTTTTATGTTGTCTTACCAATTCTGTGAAAAATTACAATAAGAAAACATGCACTGATTTGAGAATATTATTACCTCTTCTTATATTTTAATAATGTAAAGCCCTCCTCTCTAAAGAATTGTATTTGTAGCTGAATTTTTGTCAAGGATTCTGTTTCTGCCTGACTTTATCACTAAAAATATATATAAATTAGCACTTCTCCTAATATGCATAAATGATTTGAATTATTCTTCCCACAGAGGCAATGCCACTTGCTTTGCATATGGACAGACAGGTGCTGGAAAAACCTACACTATGATAGGAACCCATCAGAACCCAGGACTGTATGCTTTGGCTGCCAAAGATATCTTCAGACAACTGGAAGTGTCTCAGCCGAGAAGGCACCTCTTTGTGTGGATCAGCTTCTATGAAATCTACTGCGGACAGCTTTATGACCTCCTAAATAGAAGGAAAAGGTAGTGGCATATGAATGGGAAGTTGTAAATCTGTTCATTGGTTTAGCCAGAGCCCCACAAAATCACTTTAATTCTTTTTACTCCTCCTCTCCCTCCCTCCATCTCTTGGTCCTCTTCCCATTTGCAAAAAATCGATCTCCCTGTTTCCTATTATCTGTCTGTCTTTTGTTATGTTAAGTTATTTATACTTTGAGTTTCTATATGAGAAACCATGCAATATTTAAACTTGTGTGCCTGATTTATTTCACTTAATATTATTGGCTCAAAGTGCATCCATTTTCCTTCAAATGACTCAAGTTTATCCTTATTTATGGCACAGTAGTTCTCCATTGTATATAAATATCACATTTTTTTTATTCATCTGCTGATGGACATACAGGCTGCTTCCAAGATTTAGCTATTGTGAGTTTTGCTGCTGTAAACATGAGTATGTATGTATCACTGTATTATGATATCTATAACTCTTTCAGGGAGATACCTAGGAGGGAAATAGCTAAATCACATGGAATTTCTATTTTTAGTTTTTTGAGGTATCTACACACTGGTTTCCATAGTGGTTGTACTAGTTTACATTCCCATTAACAATGTAGAAGGAATCCTTTTCCCCATCACAGCCTCGCCAACATTTGTTATTATTTGATTTCTCAGTGATAGCCATTCTTTCTGGAGTAAGATGAAGCTCAATGCTGTTTTTATTGGCCATTTGTACTTTTTCTGAGGAGTTTCTATTTATTACAGTTTTCCAATTCTTAATTGGGTCTTTTATTGGGGGTGTCTAATTTTTTTGATTTCTTTATATTTTCTGCATGTGAGTCCTCTGTCCAAGGAGTATCTAGCAAAAAATTTTCCCATTCTATAGGTTGACTCTTCATTCTGTTGGTTATTTCCTTTGCTTTGCAGAAGCTTTTTATTTGATATAATGCTGTTTGTTATCTTTTCTCTCTCTCTCTCTCTCTCTCTCTCTTCTCTCTCTCTCTCTCTCTCTCTCTCTCTCTCTCTCTCTCTCTCTCTCTCTCTTTTGTTTTTTGAAGCAGAGTCTTGGTGTGTAGTTAGGCCAGCCTTGAATGCATTGTGTGGTGATCCTCCTGCCTCAGCCTCCCAAGTGCTGGGGTTATAGGCATGTTTCACCACACCCAGCCCTATTTGTTGATTCTTGATGTTATTTCTTGTGCAACTGTGGTTCTGTTCAGAAAGTCCTTGCCTATGCCAATGTCTTCAGCAGCTTTACCTTCTTTCATCTTCCAGCAGATTGTTTCTGTTTAATATTTAGGTCTTTGATTCTTTTTTATTTTAGTTTAGTATATGGTGAGAAACAGAGGTTTAGATTCAATCTTTTACACGTGTATTATAGCCAGTTTTCCAATACCATTTGTTGAAGAGTCTGTCTTTTCACCAGTGTGTTTTTGGCTCCTTTGTCAAAGATCAAATGGCTGAATGTGCCTAGGTTTATTTCTTCCTCTATTCTGTTCCATTGGTCCACATGTCTGTTTTTGTGCCAGTAACATGCTGTTTTGAATCACTGTACTTTTGTAATGTAACTTGAAATCCAAGATTGTGGTGCCTACTGCTTTGCTCTTGTTGTTTAGAATTGCTTTTGCTATTCTGTGTCTCTTCTGGTTCCACATGAATTTTAGGATTGTTTTCTCGTTCTCTGAGGAATGCTGTTGGTGTTTGGTTGGGATCAAATTAAATTTGTATATCAGTTTTGATAGTATAGCCAATTTGACAATATTGACTCTCCCTATCCAGGAATAGGGGATATCTTTACATTTTTTTTTTTGATGCCCTCTTTGATATCCTTTTTCACATTACTGTAGTTGTCATTGTAGAGGTCTTTTACTTCCTTTGTTAGATTAATTTCTAATTATTTAATTTTTCTTGATGCTATTGTGAATGATATGGTTTCCTTTTCTTTTCTTTTCTTTTCTTTTTTCCAGTACTGAGGATTAAACTCAGGACCTTGGAAGGCAGGCATGACACTACTGAGCTAAATCCCTGGCCTTTTCCCTAGTTTCTTAATGAGTTCATTATTGGTGTACAGGAATGCTGTTGATTTTTGTGTGCTGATCTTTTTTTCCTCATGCATTGCTGAATTTGGTTATTAATTCTAGAAGTCTTTTGGTAGAATTTTTGGGTCTTCTATGTAAAGGTTATCTGCAAATAATGAGTTTGCCTTTCTCTTTCCCTATATGTATCCCTTTTATTTCTTTCTCTTGTTGCTAGTTCTCTGGCTGATGCTTCATGGGCTATATTGAACAAGAGTGTCTTATTCCTGATTTTAGAGGTAAAACTTATGGCTTTTCCCCCATTAAATATCATATTGGCAGTGGGTTTGTCCTAAGCAGCTTTTATCAAATTGAGAATAAGGTTCTTCTGTACCTGTTTTCTTCAGGGTTTTTATTGTGTGTGGATGTTAGATTTTGTTAAAGACCTTTTTTTACCTCTATTTGAGATGATCATATGTTTTTGTCCTAGCTTTTGTTTTATGTGGTATATTACATTTATATATGTTGAACCATCCTTTCATCCCTGGGATGAAGCCTACTTGGTCATGATGTATGATCTTTTTGATGATTTATTGCATTCTGTTTGCCAGTATCTTGTTAAGAATTTTTGCATCTTCGTTCATTAAAGAGACTGAGCTGTAGTTTTCTTTTTGATTTGGATCCTTTTCTGGTTTTGAATCAGGGTAATGTTAGCTTCTAAGAATGATTTTAGAAGTACTCCTTCCCTTTCCATGTCATTAAAGAGTTTGAGGAGTATTGGCATTACATCTTCCCCGAAGCTCTTGTAGAATTCAGTAGTGAATCCATCAGGTTCTGGGCTTTTCTTAATTGGTAGGATTTTTATTCTTCAATTTCATTGCCTGTTACTGGATTATTTAGAATTTTATCTTCTTGAGTTGAAGTAATTCTATATATATGAATGTCCATTTCTTCTGAATTCTCCAATTTATTAGAGTACAGGTTTTTGAAGAGTGATTTAAAATCTTCAGGATTTTGGCTGTGTCTATTCTGATTTTGCCTTTTTAATTTCTAATTGCATTAATCTGGGTCTTTCCTTTTTTTGGTAAGATTGGCTGAGGAGTTGTCTGTTTTGTTTATTCTTTCAAATAACCATCTCTTTGTTTAATTCTTCATATTGTGGAGTTTTTTGATACCAGGGATCAAACTTGGGACCTTGCACTTAGGAAGCAGGCAACAACACCACTGAGCTAAATCCCTGGTCTCTTCATATTGTGTTTTTAGTTTCAATTTCATTCATTTCTGCTCTGATCTTTATAATTGCCTGATCCCGTTAGACTTTCTGGCATTGTTGACTTCATTGTTTCTTGCTTTGAATTTGGATTCTTGTTTATCTAGGACCTTGAACTTCATCATTAGGTTATTTATTTGGGCTCTCTGTTTTTCTTATGTGAGCATTCACAGCTATAAGTTTCCCTCTTATGACTGCTTTCACTGTATCTCATAGGTTCTGGTACGTTGTACTGGCATTTTGTTTGATTCTAGGAACTGTCTGATTTCTTCTTTGATTCATTGATTATTTAAAAGTGTATAGTTTAATCTCCATGCATTTGCATAATTTCTATAGTTTCTTTTGCCATTGATTTCTAGTTTCATTTCACAATATGATCTAATAATATGCTTGGGAGATTTCAGGTTTTTTGTATTACTTATGTATGCTTGCTTTATAGGCTAGTTTGTGGTCTATTTTGGGGAAAGTTCCATGTGTTGATGAAAAGAATATGTATTCTGTTGTTGGGTGGAATACTCTGTAGATACCTGTTAAATGCATTTGTTTGAATGTTTGATTCAACTCTGATATTTCTTTGTTGATTTTTGTTGTGTTCTTTTGTCTGGTTGATCTGTTTATGACACTGAGGTATTGAGGTCCTCCACTATAATTGTGTTGATGTTTATTTGATCTCTTTAATGAAGTTGAATGCACTGGTGTTTGTTGCATATATATTTATAGTTGCTTTCCTTTGAATTGTTCCCCTAGCCAATATGTGGTAACCTTTTGCCTCTTCTGATAAGTTTTTTGTTGTTGTTGTTGTTTTGGTTTTTTGGGGTTTTTTTGTACCGGGGATTGAACTCTGGCCTTTGCGCTTGCAAAGCCGGCAGTGGAACCACTGAGCCAAATCTCCAGCCCTCTTCTGATCAGTTTTTGCTTGAAATCCACTTTGTCTGAAAACAGGAAAGCTAGTCCTTGTTGTTTTGGGGTTCCTGTTTCATGTTGTTTTCCATCCTTTTGATACGGAAGGAATTGGTAAGTGATACAGAGAGGTGCAGAATGGAAGTAAAATAACAAAAGTTTTATTTGTCGACAAAGGTCGATCCCACATAAAATCAGTGCCTGGATTGACAATGCACTGGGTTACAACTCCTTCTTTCTTTCCCTTTTTTTTAAAGCCTTGACTTCATTTGGGTGGTTACATTTTATTCTCACAGTTCACATCGCTGATATACAAATCATGATCACAAGACAGTTTACTTTCAACCCAGACATAGTAATTTTGTAGTTAGGGGAGTTTACCTTTAAGACTTGCCTACTTATCTATCCTAGCCCATAGGAAGCGGGTGTTCAGGGTCAGGGGAACAAATAAATGTTAGCAGAGGTCCTTTTCATCTTGACACTTTTACGATCATGTGGCTCCAGGCTCTTGAGCTCAAGGTTGTGACGTGCCCTGTTATCTCAGGGTAAGACCAAATGTCTCATCCAATAATTAATACCTTTGGTGTCTGTCTGTTCTAAACTAAGCAAAACATACTGCTGTTAGAGATGCAGAAGCCATTCTACATTGTGACACTTTATAGGTTTTTGCTAGTTTTAAAAGTTTTCTCTATCATTTTGACTTTTAGTCTATGATTATCTTTAATTTTTTTTATTTTATTGATACATTTTAGATATACATAATAACATTCATCATAGGGAATTTGTTCCTGCACATGATATATCTTGCTTCTTGCTTATTTTTTTCCCTTTCCCCTCCCCTCCCTTAATGATTTCTTTTTTAATTAAATGTGTTTTTGTATACAGCATATCATTGGGTTTGGGTTTTGTTGGGGTTTTTTTTCCCACTGGGTTTTGGTTTTGATCCAGCCTGCCAATCTCTGTCCTCTGATTGGGGGGTTGAGACCATTCACATTAAGAGTTATTACTGAAAAGTATTGACTTTTCTTTTCATTGCATTGTTTTCCTATTGCTGATTCTTCCCCCCGCCCCCCTTCTGTTTAAACTTCTCACCATGCCTGATCCTATTAGACTTTCTGGCATTGTTGACTTCATTGTTTCTTTCAAGAATGTCCTTGAGAATTTTTTGTTCTGTTGATTTGGTGGTTATAAATTTCTTAAGGTGTTTCTGTCGTGGAAATACCTTTTTTTTTTTTTTTTTTTTTTCCTTATTTCTCCAATTTTGAAAGCTAGATTTGCAGGATATATCAGTCTGGATTGGAAGTTACTGTCTTTTAGGGCTTGAGACAGACACCTCACTCCAAGCTCTTCTGGCCTTTAAAATTTGTGTTGAGAAGTCTGCTGTAGTTTTGTTTTTTGTTTTTTTTGGTTTTTGGTACCAGGGATCTAACTCAGGACTGAGTTAGATCCCTGGCCCAGTCTGCTGTATTTTTAATGGGTTTACTTTTTTTAAAAAAAAAGTTTTATTTATTTATTTTAGCCAGGCATGGTGGCGCATGCCTGTGATCCCAGCACCTATGAGGCTGAGGCAGGAGAATTGCTACAAGTCTGAGGCCAGCCTGGGCTACATAGAGAATTCAAAACAGGCTGAAACTATACAATAAGACCTTGTTTTGGTTTTTTGTTATTGTTGTTGATGTTGATTTTTTGATACTGGGGATCAAACTTGGGACCTTGTACTTGTAAGGCAGGCAGCAGCACCACTGAGCTAAATCTCAGGCCCAAGACCTTGTTAACCAAAAAAAAAAGAAGGCATGGTGGTGCACACCTGTAATCCCAGCACTCGGGAGGCTGAGGCAGGAGGATCACTGTGAGTTCCAGACCAGCCTGGACTACATAGTGAGTTCCAGGTAGTCTCAACTACATAGTCAGACCCTGTCTCAAAAAAAATAAAAAAGTTATGGCAAGGGGAGGGGGGAGTTACCTATGATCAAACTCAGGAACTTGTTCTTGTAAGGTAGGCGTGGCTCCACTGAGCTAAATCCCTGGCCCTTAATTTTGTATGTATGTATGTATGTATTTATTTATTTATTTTACTTACTTATTTTGGGATTTTTTGGGGGACAGTTTCACTGTGTAGTACAGGCTTACCTTGAACTCTGCTTCAGCCTCCCAAATGTTGGTATTACATGCATGTGCCACTATACCTGGAGGGTTTATCTTTGTAGGTGATTTTTAGCTTTTCTGGACTTCTGGGATTTTTATTATTATGTGTCATGGAGTTTCTCTCTCTCTCTCTCTCTCTCTCTCTCTCTCTCTCTCTCTCTCTCTGTTACCAGGGATCAAACTCAGGACCTTGCACTGAGCTACATCCTCGGCCTGAGAAGTTCTTTTCTGCTTGTGGCTATTTGGAGTTCTGTATGCATCACTAACCTGTATGTTAATTTCTTTTCCCATATTTGAAACGTTTTCTGCTATTATTTGCTGTTTTTGTTTTTTGTTTTTTTCTCTAATGCCAATTAGTCTTCTTTGCATCATCTAGCAAGCTGTTGGATGTGTTTTCCATGATCTCTTGTTGTTTTTAAGGCATTTCTGTATATATTCATCTGCATCCGTCCTATCTTCTAGTCTGATGATTCTGTCCTCACATTGGTCACTTTTGCTGCCTGTAACTTCAGTAGAATTTTTTTATCTCCTGAGTTTCTGTTTGGTACCTTTTTATGGACTCTGTTCTTTGCAAAACTTCTGTCATTCATGTTTTCTATCATCATATGTAGGTCAGCTAGCTTTTTATTAATGTCTTCTCTAAGCTCATTGACCATTTAATTGTCTGTTATCTGTTTAGTTATATCATCTTTGATCTCTCTGAGTACCTTTTTGATCTGGTTTTTTGTCTTCCTTTTGTCATTTCATATAACTCAGCTGTTTAGCTCACTGGGGATTGAACTCAGGACCTTGAGCTTGCCAGACATGTGCAGTGCTGCTGAGCTACATCCCCAGCCCTCAGCTGTCTTGGCTGTTTAGCTTTTGATTTTCTCCTCATCAATGTCCCTTGGATGAGCTTTGAGACAGTTGGAAATTTTTGGAAGCATTTTGTTTCCTTGTCTTTTCTCTCTCTTTTTTTCCTTGTGTGGAGGTTTGCAGATCAATTATAGTGCAAAGACTTCGTTACTAGTACGGAGATCTCTTTAGTTAGCGTGTGCTTTTCAGTAGTGTTCTGGGCATGGCTAACTATAGGCCTTTGCTTCTGTCCCAAGATTCAACCTCCTCTGTTAATTTGAGAGGATAAGGTGCAGTATAATTTGCCCAGCACCCAATTCTTTGGAAATGAACCCCAGTATTGTTAACAACACAAAAACAAATCAGATATTGGCATTCATTGAAAACTAATAGCAACAAGTATGGCACTCTAGCAGTATCAATAAAATCAACAATATAATCAAAGACAGACTGGCTACCACTGTACTACCCTTAACCATAAAAAAGAAATCTACAGAGCTGGGGATTTGGCTCAGTGGTTCTGCCACCTGCCTTGCAAGTGCAAGGACCTGAGTTCGATCCCTGGTACCCAAAAAAAAAAGAAAAGAAAGAAAGAAATCTATATATTAGACACAAAAAATAAATATTGACATACAGCAAATATTTACTAAATGTAACAACTGTACCATCAATTAACAATAGAAAAGAATTCACTGGGCATGGTGGCACACACCTGTAAACCCAGCATTTGGGAGGCTGAAGCAGAAGGATCATCTCCAGTTTGAGGCCAACCTGGGCTACATAGTGAGTTCAGGGCCAACCTGGATTACATAGTGAGACCCTGTCTCAAAAATAACAACAAGCAGCCAGGGATTTAGCTCAGTGGTTCCACCATCTGCCTCACAAGCACAAGGTCCCGAGTTTGTAAAAAAAAAAAAAAAAAAAAAAAAAAATTCAACAATAGTAACATAATGTTAACTGAATATCTAAAGATTAATAGTAATCTAGTAAATGACCAGGCATGGTGTTGCACACCTGTAGTCTCTGTACTGAGGAGGCTGAGGCAGGAGGATTCCCATGAATACTAGGCCAGCCTGAAGTACAAAGTGAGCCCCTATCTCAAAAAAAAAAAAGTAATACAAGTGAAGATGGAGTGGGTGGGGAATAGGAGAATGAAAGTAATGAAACTTGAAAAATAAAAGATGAGGATAGAAAAGTGAGATAAAGGATCCTATTAAGGAGTAAAATAAAATTAATAGAATTCGATAAAAGTAACTGAAAAAAAACCTAGAAAAATAAAGAAAAAAACTACTCAGGGGGTCTATGTCTAGCCTGCACCCACCCTCTCCTCAACTATCTATGTGCCCATCTCCTACTCAGTCCATGTGATAGGGTGACACTAGAAACTGAAGTGTAGTTCTGTGATTGTTCTGTGGTCCAGTCTTATACAATCAGCCCCTTCCTAAACTGGCTCACATATTGCAGGCACTGCTTTGGATTTCTTTTCCACCTCTCCCCTTCCTTATGGAAGAAGTCACTTTCAGAGTAAAACCCCATGCTGTTTTTGCAGTTTGCAGTAGCCATAGATTTTCCTTGAGGCTTGAGCTGCTGCTGGTCGGTTCATGGTTTCTTCCTGACTCTGCCGACCTCTCTGGGATTGACTTGTTAGCAGAAGCAGTTGCTTCTGTGTAGGAACTGGGGTCAGCTTTCCAGGCTGCTTTGTTCTTCTCTGCGTCATGTGTCATGCGTAGCTTCTCTAGCTTCTCTGTAGTTTCTAGTTTTCCTATCAGCTCCCTCATGAT